TGCTGTTTCACAAGGTGCTTCCTCCAGAAGAGGGAATGGCAGTTGAGAAGCTGGGTAAGCTCTAAGGTTTTTAACTGTGTGCACGGAGGACTCTTTCTCCAGGGCTGTCATAGCTGGTATCTCTCCGTAGCTCATTTGCCTTACAATTTACAGTTTCAAAATTAACATTGAGAAGTAGATGTCAAATCTGATATATTAGCCTTTCTGCTCTGAATAGTATGGAAGACTGATCACGTTGAAAGCTCTGTATTTCTTAGGGAAACTTTTTCAGTATGCAAATCTGACTTAAGAACTGGAGGCTGATTTGGTTTGTCATAATTATGACTACCAGGCTTTAAATAATTCATTCTCACTCTCTGTGGAATGTCACTTTTTTTTTTAAGTAAGCTTTGCTAAAAATGACATACTTTTGATATGATAGCTTATAAAACTTGCTCACAATGTGCACGATGCTATGATTCAGGTTTAAGAGAGATTTTTACATATTTCTGCAACACATTCTGATATTTTTCAGACCTTTAAGGGAGAAGTAAGCACATGGGCTTCAGTTCCTGTTTTTACTTGCATCATTCAACTTGGTGTCCTATCCTACAAGTGAAGTGAAGGGACTCTTCAAGCTGGACTTGGATGTAGTATGCCACTAACACCATCTGTTAGAAAATCAAATGAAGATAGGAATTAAAAAAACAGCAAAGTAGGTTTAGACCAAATACCAGGAAAGACTTCTTCACTGCTAGAAGAGTGAGGCCTTGGAATAGACTGCCTAGGGAAGCTATGGACTCTTCATCACCAGGGGGATTCAAGAAGAGATTGGAGGGCCACTAGTCAGCAATGATCTAGATGTAGCGTTATCTATGTTCTGCTAGGGGTGTTTCCCATACTTCTGGGCTTTGCTGGTTGCCACTTGAAGCTAAGAGGGAATTCTGAATGGCCCTCACACCTCCCCCACAAGCTATACATGTTAGTGGGGGCGGGGGTGTTAAACTCTTTCTCAGACATTGTGTGTTGGCTGCAGCCAAGGCTGGGGGTTTTGACTGGGATTCCTGCCAGGACTTAAGCCCAGAGGTTTCTGACTAACGGGTCTTACCCAGGGGTAGGCAAAATATGGCTCACAGGCTGGATTTGGCCTGACAGTTGATTTGTATCTGTCCCACAGGCTAGTGGCTGCAAAATCATAGGATCTGGCCCATAGGGAGTTGGCGGTTCCAGCTGCTGCATCATGCTGGGTGGGTGGGCACATCCTAGCCCCATCCACAGCTTATACCAGCTCCCACCCCATGCGCTGGAAGCAGCTCTGGGTGCATGCTGGCATCGGCTGTGGACACTGCCTGCAGGTTCCCATCATGAATCAGGGTGACTGCCTGGGACCTCAGCTGATGCACTGATGCAGCAGCATTACCTGTGGACCTGAGAGGATGCCCAAACCCTTAGCAGGAACTAGCTGCCTGCATCCACAGCTGATGCCAGTGCCTGCCTGGTGCTGTTTCTGGTGCATGGGCCAGGAGCTGGTCTAAGCTGTGGGGCTGTGCTGTAGGTGTGGGACAGTAGGGGGACCGATGGGAGGGAGGGAGACAAAGAGAGGTAGCCCTTCCCATGATGAGTGGTAGCGGCTGGTGCTGGGCACTGGGCAAAAGCAGGACCCGGTAGTGGGTGTGCTTGCCTCTTCCAGGGCCCTTCTGGCTGTGGCTGGCTAGAGCCTGCACTGGAGCTGCCCTGTGGCTCCTTGCAGCTGCTGTCCTGTGCCACCTCTAGGTTGCCCTGGACCTGCAGGGTGGTGGCAATGAGGACGGGTCACAGGCCAGCCCCAGCATGAGCTCTGTGCAGCACAGCCAAAAGGGCTCCAGAAGTGGTGAGTGCAGTTGCTGCTGGGTCCTGCTTTTGCCTGGCACTCAGTGCTGGCTGCTGCCACTCATCATGGGCAGGCCCATCCCTTCCTGGGATCTCTCCAGTATATTGACAACTTCTGCAGAAACAGGGTGTTGACTACCATAGTTCTCTGCTTTGTCTGTGGCAGGTTAGGGTGTTGTGTTGCATTGGGGTAGGCTGTGGTTTTACTAAGAGGTTAGACAATGGATTTATATAGGATGTTTAGATTGGGATGATCCTACTTCAGGCAGGGGCAGTGGCCACACTTAGTGGGTGGATGGGGTGCACCTGCACCCCCTGACCAGCTGCGCTCACCACTTAGGCGATGGGCAGTCAGGAGCACCAGTGCCCCCCCTGCAGGTGCTGGCCAGTCGCTGCAGCCGGTCCCAGAAGTGCCAGCAACCAGTCCCAGAAACGGCTGTAGCGATCAGCCACAGCAATCGGCTGTGGGTGGACCTCCCCTCCACCCCAGGCAGCGCAGTTACCCATGGGCAGGGGTTTGGACTACAGGACCTCTTGAGGTCCCTTTGTGCCTTACTACTTTGTGATTCTATAAAACCAAGACAGTACCAGCTTCTAGTGCACAAAACATTGATTGCAACATAGCCTCAAACACCAGCATTTCAGATACTGCACCTCCTCTTGAATCTTGGTGTGCAATCTATTACATGGTGGTACATTTTTCACATCACTAGGCCTTACAGGAGGTGCTAAGAAGTTTGCAGGATGAAGTTTTATACTGTGGTTCACTAAAAACCAAGGGTAGGGGGAAGGCATATTCTCCGCTTCTGAAAATTTGCAGTAGCTCACTTGAAATCAGGATAAAGATTTGCCCTTGGGTGTCTGTAACAGCAGGGAGGAAGATGAGAGAGAAATAATCCTTATGTTTAATTAACCTTTATATGACTCCCCAGATCTGCTAATTGTTCTCATAACTAAGAAGTAATTTACCAGTAGGTTCTAAAAGAATAAACAATAAATATGATGCATGGTAATTCCAAGGTTTTATGGATTGATTAATTAATTGAATAATGTTAAATGTTAGTATTTAAATTATTATTTAATGACATACTTTCACATGCCCACTATCCAATGAACCACGCCAATGTTGGGCATATGCCTTGCAGGGTTTCTAATTATTTTCTGTTTCATCTTTGTCTGAGGATATGATGGTATTAGCTATGTTCAGGCTAGTTAACTTTGAGTTCCTTATTCTGAATCTAGAGACTTATGCATACGGCTCTGTCATAAGACACGGCCATCGACTGAGTAGGGTTTAATTTATACTTTTTATTTACCCCTAGAAAATGTCTAGGAGTATAAGTGTCAGGAGTATCAAGTAGCCTTTCCTCCAAATCAGTTAAATGACAGAAAGTAACTTTTAGATTTTCCATATAAATAGAGTTTTTACATCAGTCTGGGTGCACTTAAGATGCACTTAAATATTTGTTACTTAACTCTCTATGTAGAGAGTCTATATAACATATTCCTAAGTATATTGTGATAAACATGTAAACATACAGTTTCTCACGGTCAGAATTCCTATCATTCTTAACTGTATGTGTAATAAAGAATATAGATGTTAGCATAAAATGTAGTAAAGATTTAACAGCATGACACTAAAAATAATTAATTCAGATAGATCTATTTACAGCATTGAGTCTGGTGGAGGTGCAGTGATGGTGATATTCTTGATAGTGTTGTTTTAATTTATCTAATATCAATGGCTGCATTTGAGTAACTCTGAAAATGTAAGCTTCTCCACAGCAAAGCTTTACCTGGTCCAGCTGGTTGCTGAGCTCATGGACTGTACTGGCTCAGTAGGGCAAAGGCTGATCTACTTGAATTCCCTTTTGTGGAATTTATTCTGCCCACCAGAGGGCCTAATTTGTGAACAGACAACTACCTAAAGATGACTGGTGCCTCAGGAAACTGAAGTTTCATAGTCATTAGGGACTGCAAGGGGCCTTACAGATCATGAAGTCCAGCACCCCTAGTCATGGGCAAGAAAGACCCCTGGGATGTTCCATCAATCAAGCTGGCCTTTGTCCTGTGAGTTTTACTTCTAGATTTTTAATACTGTACTTGAATCCATTCAAAAAGGTTGTAAACTTGCCTGATGAATTTCTCTTACCAGAAAAGTAAGAGGCTTTAGTATACTTTTTAAGTGCCTGATGGTCAGCACCTTTTGAAGCGGTCTATACTGCAGTCAGTTACTTAGTAACTAATGGTCTAGTGGCATCTTGTTGAATTCATTAATTTATCTATCAATGCATGAAGAAGTCTAACATTGGGCTCCTGCTTCAAGATACCCTGGCTTAACTTCTAACTTGCATGTCTCTTTAATGCTTCTGAAGCCAGCACAAAAATACAGGTGTGCACACTGACACTTTGGTGTGTGGGGAAATGAATGGTGGAACCAAGGAGTGTGAGAGAGTGTGGGTCAGTGTGAGTGAGAGAGCGAGCACCTGCATGTAAGAGCTGTGTGCGAGTGCAGGGCCCTGGCAAACACTGGCCCATCAGCAGTCTCAGGCACAGCGTGTGGACAGCAGCCTTGCGTTTTTCAAAAATATTTATTTCTATAAATATTTAAGGCCCCTTGGCAGTGTTGAGGCGGAGTTAAAAATATATTTAATTCTGCTCGTTTCCTCCCCTTGTGCAGGTAGAAGGACATTGCAGCATCGAGAACCGTGTCCAGGGCCACTTGGCAGTGTTGAACAACTCCATCCCCAACACTGCCAAGAGGCTCTCGTGGACGGGCAGCCCTGGACGCTGTTCGCGCTGCACCGCAATGTTCTTCTACCTGCACAAGGGGAGGGAACGAGCGGATGGCGCTTGGCCCCGGGGAACAGGAAGTGAAACCAAGGCACTAAAAGGGAGGAGGAAACTGGAGAGAAATGTGACATGGGCCAAAGCAGAGGCTGCTCCCGCAGCCCGCGCGCGCTCGGGGCTGGCCCCGTACAGCGCCGCTTCCTCTCGCTGACCCGAGGGGCCATGCGGAGATACTGCCCGTCGCTTCGAAGCTGCTCTCCGGACCAACCCGGCGAACTCTAACCCCGCCCCCTTCCTCAGAGACCCGCGCGGTGACAGAGGGGCGGTGCCCCGCCCCCCCGAGTCGCGCTGGGCCGGAAGTGCGCGCGGACTACATTTCCCAGCGCGCCCCGCGTGGAGGAGAAGGGCGGCGGGCGGCGGCCGTGGGAGACAGGGGCCCGGGCCCGAGCCCGGGCGCAGGTGAGCATCGCTGCCGGCGAGGCCGGGCCGGGACCGAGGCCGCAGGGGTGGGCGGTGGGGGGGCAGCCTCTTTCCCTCCCTCCGCGCGGGGGGGGACTGATGTTTACTTTTGAAAGGCGGGTCCCCCCCTGGGGGCGGGTGGGCGGAGCTGGGGCCGGGAGAGGAGGGCACAGGCGCATCGCTTCGCCCCTGCCCGCTGCAGGTGGCTGCTGGCGGCCCCGGGGCCGGATCCTGCTGCTGTCGGCGCCGCGGGCATGGCGGACACGGTGTCGGTGCACGCGACGCGCTTCGAAGCGGCCGTGAGGGTGATCCAGAGCCTGCCCCAGAACGGTGAGTGCCGCCCCCGCCTGGCACGGCCTGCTCGGCCCGGCCCGGCGCCGCACCTGCTGGGGGGGAGGGGCGGGTGCTGGGGGTGGCAGGTGAGTCTGCGGTGCACGGCACCGGGCGCTCAGTACCCAGCCGCGCCCGGAGGTGCGAGGAGATAAACGCAGGTTTGGTCCTTGCCTGGCCCTTTCTCTGCTGGCCCCTCTAGAAGGAGGGAGGCCCTGTAAGAAAACCCATTATGTGTTTTAAATAGGGTGCCACACAGTGTAATGCTCCTGAGCCAAAGTGTCACTCAGTCCCCTCACCCCTGGCAGCAGCAGTCCAGGCTGGTGTGACAGCGCTGCAGACTGCCTTGTCTGTGGCCAGCAAGGCTAGCGGGGCCCTGTGGCAGCTGTCCCCTCCCCTTGGGGTTCCCACCAGGTGAAGAATTGCCCCGTTTCTTGCTGATCTTGAAAGGTGTCCCCTCCTGGGCCTGTCATTCGACTCCTACAGTGTACAACTCATTGGCTGTGCACTCCCCCCACCCCCTCCACACACTGCCGAAGAAAGCATTTGACCTGTGCCTTACAAAAGCATGCCCTTTCCTGCTACACAGGAGAGGGTGGATCCCAGGATTCAAACAGCCCATGTTGTCCCTTGCTCTGGTTAGCCACCTGTCTAACTTGGTGACCTACCTGGGGCCCAGAATGTTGAGTTTATAGCTTGCTTATTGGGCCAATTGGGGAAAAAAACTGTACATACTGCCCTTTTTCTATCATATTAGGACTTGCTCCTGTATGAGTAATTGCTGCATAAACATATGCAGAAGGCCCATTAATTTAAGGTTTAGGTTGGTCTTGTTTTCCCTTTTGAAACTTGCTCTTATATGCTGCCTGAAAATTATATTAGTGTTTTGTCATTCTTGTTTTCAATACAGTGTTCTTAGCTTACAGCACAATACAGTATATGTGCATTTTGTTCATATAGGAGGCTTTTCATAGATGTAATCAATTTAGGTTTTTGTGACCTGCTTTCTTCCATTCCATCCCCAGTGTAAAAAAACAAAAAACAAACCCCAAACAAATGAACAAAAAACTCCCCCCCAGAAACCCAGGAGGAGGTATTTCCCTAATTGAAATATCAACATTGATTTTTATGGTTTCGGAGCTATCACTGTTTACTCTTCCAACTGAAATTTACAATATGATAAAAATTAGAGAAGAGGGGAGGGAAAGAGTTGTAACACTTTCCCCTTGCAGTTTGTTATTTTTGTTAGATTAAACCAAGATAATCAGTATTTAAAGGTAAACTGAAAAATTAACGCCAGATTAGCTTAAGGTTGTGTTTTTTGGTTTGTGGAAGCCTAATGAATTACATCAACCTGAAAGTAAATTGAATAGTTCAACATAAGTGTTAAGTGATATGCCTGACTCTTGATTGGTTTTATTAGATTATCTTTATCCTATGTCTATAAATGGTTTTTCTTTTTTCTGTCTGAAACACCCTAAAGACAGGGGAAACAGTAAAATGGAGCATGCCCAAGCTGATGTTGAATGATCAAAACTATAATTCTGAACTAGTATTCTGCCTCTTGGATCTTTCAACAACCATTTTATTTGTTGCAAGGAGAAATAATTTTTGAAAATCCAACGAGACATGGCATGTTGGCTGTTTTAAGTTGACTAGCATGTCTTTAAATTGTGTGAAAGTAAACTTGGTCCTAGTGATTTATTCATTTGCTGTCTAGATATAGAGTTTAGTTTGATGCCCTTAAGTAATGCATCCCCCTAATCCAGATCTGAGGTTGGCCTTCTACCTGTAAATATTCACTGCTGGCCTAATCCAAAAAAGGATGAAGCCCCCACAACATTTACTGTTTTTCTCCTTCTGTTTTTTAATAAGAACTTCACCTCTGAGAATCGGGCATTTTTATCTTGATATGAGTGACAGAACTGGAAGTCAACTTTGCACAAAAAGTATTAACTTTGTATTAGATTTGGCAACGTCTTTAATGCCAATTTGTATTTATTATTAAATGTCACCAGGTTCGTTCCAGCCAACAAATGAAATGATGCTCAAGTTCTACAGCTTTTATAAGCAAGCAACCCAAGGACCGTGTAACATTCCAAGACCTGGATTCTGGGATCCTATTGGTAGATATAAATGGTAATTATGTAAATTATGTACGAATTACTTTTTTTCTTTATGGTTTGAACAGAGACTTTGTCTAAGAGCACTATCTCCCTTCAGTGAACAGAAGTGTCACTTACAAGCAAGTGGACTTTTTTTTTTTTAATAGCATTTATATGGATTTGTTTTTTTGTTTTAAGCCTTTGTTTCAGCTTTGAACTTCAAATAGTTTGTCGCTTCTTGGAGTTAGGGGTCAGAACACTCTTGTTCTGCCAATGGGGAGAAGGATGCTGCTTATGTAAAATGAGATTTGCCCAACTCTGTACCTAGATGCTAGAGAAGCTAAGGTGTAGGTGCTCTGCAGAATTGAGAGATGAAGGAATATCTTTTTACAGAATTCTCCTGTCTCTGGATCGTGGGTTTCTATTTGCTAATATTGCTTTATAAAGCAATATTAAGTGTCTTTGTCCTCTTGAAAGGGTATATTTTATTTTGCAAGGATAGAGTGTCTGACCAATGGCAGGTATTCATTTTGTTTTATAAAGAAACACCTCTAGCCCTCCCTGTCACGGAAACATCCTTGAAAATGTGAATGAAGGGAGTGTTAAGGTGGGTCTCGTAATTGCTTCTAAAAAATCAAAGTTTATTATCCCTCACAAACTAGGCCTTTTGGAATCAGTGAAATGGGCCCTTGGGTGGGGGGAGATAAAGGAGAGGAATCCACACAGTGTGCAGGAACCTGTATTGTTTGATCACAAGATCCTTCTTACCTGGCTGCCTCTACCCGAGATATAAGTAACCAGTCTGGCATTGTCTTGTGAAAGAGGGAGAGACCAGATTGGATTAACCAAATACGTGGCAGAATAAAGAATCTTCTACTGATTCTAATCCCAGTCCCGACAGTATGGAAAGCTGTAAGGAGGAAACATGGAGAACTTGCTGCTGTGGCTTCAGTCAATCTGTATAATAAAGATAATGCTGATTGCTCAGATTATGGATGTTCCTTGTGGTGATGGTGTTAACAAGGTACTACACAAATCACAGCTTGCATGCCATTCTTGTAGGCATTTAGGCAGCACCTTACCTAGACTTCTGGTGGCCCTGAGTGAACTAGTATCAGGCTTCTGTTCGCCAGAGCTGCTGCTCATGATGATAATCATTGTTTTCACCATTTTTTGGGTCCCCTTTATTTCCGGGCCCTGGGTGGCTGCCTAGTTCACCCATACCTGCGTCTGGCTCTGCATTTAGGGATTGAAAGATTCTAAGGCCACTCAGATCTGTGTTGAGATATGTTTCCTTTAAATATTTCTTAAAATACTTTCAACTTTTATATAGACCCCAGCTCAAGGCTTTTGGTTTTACTTCTGTGGTAAATAGCCTAAAATTTACAATTTGCTGGTTGTAGCAGAAGGCTTGGTGTTCCTGCTACTTTAGGAGAAGGCAGACTGCTGATAGGAGTGGGTACACAAAGCAGTTACTGTGGAACAGCTGACATACTAACCCTCTTACTTTTGTTAGTTAGTGTTGTTTTTTTATTTCTGTCTCTTGAGTCAGTCCAGCGCCTTCCTTTCACGTGATATCTAGCTAACTGATCCTCACAAATTGGATACATAGACTTTTAAAATGTATTTGTAATTATTTATACCACAAAATTGCAGACAGGATAAAACTGACCTACTTAAGGCTAGAGTTGAAAAGTTCAAGCTGAACTTGTATGTTCTGAAGATCTGAATGCCTATCTTTCCTAGGGATGCTTGGAGTGCTTTGGGGAACATGTCCAAAGAAGAAGCAATGATAGCCTATGTTGAAGAAATGAAAAAAGTAAGTTTATTTTTCACATCTGAAATTACTTATTTGTGGAACCAGAAAATTTTGAATGAATATAGAAGACATGACTAGTTGCTAGCAAAGTTTCAGATTTGATTTTCTTTTTTTTTTCTTCCCCTTGAGTGTTTGTTGAATTGATACTTTAGATAGTCTGTAGGTAAAGTGTTTGAAGCTGAAAAGCTCCAGGGAACCTATTTATGTAGTGTTTTAAAGATGATACCGTCATATAAACTGAAATTTGAGTAAGTGAAGTGTAGGGAAGTCCTGGAATTGAAAGTGCAACTGGTTTAGAACAAAGTGTGAGGGGGTTACAACAAAGGCTGAATTTTCATTTGAACTCAGGGTTGAGAGATGGAGGGATTCTTACCTGGAAAAGGCTTGAGACTTGGTGTATTAATAAAACACCACTCTTGTAATCATGAGTTTAACCAGAACTCTGTATCTGAACACAATTGAACTTTAAAGGAGAACTTTAAGTCTACCTCTGTTTCATCATTTTAAATATTAGTTGCATATTAGGGGTGTTCCAGTAAAGATTTTGGGGGCTGATAGCAATAGCTGATACTTAAGGAGGCATATCAGCCAATACCAATCCAATTTCTGATACAGCTGCCATCAGGTGGTAAGTCTGGTGTGGCGGAAGGGGAGGAAGAGTTGTGGGGGGGACAGATCAATGCCCCCTGCAGTGAGGGAGGGGCAGGGGTAGGTGCTTCCCAGCCAGGCTGGGGGTGGGGGGGCATAGGACTGAGGCACAGCTCATGGCGTGGGGGCAGCTCCTGCTGCTGCTGCTTGCACCCCAGGGAGGCACAGGCCTCTGGTTTTGTGCAGTGCTGGGGTGGACTGCAGCTGTTGGGGGGAGCCAGCCCCAGCCCTGTACAGGGCTTTTCTTGCTGGGGGGTGAGGCCACCCCAGATCTTGATGCAGCTCTGCTCCCAGCCCTGCACCAGTGCCCAGCACAGCCCTGGCTGAACACCCTAGCTCCACCCAAGTGTTGGGATAAGCCGGGGCTGTTCTGGGTGGCAGCGTGGGGCTTGGAGTAGAGCTGCGGCAAAACTTGGGGTGGCTGCAGCCTCCTCCTAGCATGGCTGGAGCCCACTCCAAGACCTGTCTCCAGCAAGAAAAGCCCCACGCAGCACCAGATCCACCTCCTCCCTGCAGCTGAAGCCCGTCCCACACAGCGCAGATCTGGGGGCATATGCCTCCCCACCCCTGCCCTCCCAGGGTGCAAGCAGCAGCAGGAGCTGCCCCCACCTCACAAGCTGCGCCTCAGTACCACGCCCTTCTGTCCTGGCTGGCCAGCACCTGCCCCTGTCCTTTCCCTCACTATGGGGGGGGGCTGTGACAGGAGTATCGTTACTGGAGCCTTTCTGTTGGTGACTCTGCCCTCCTCTTATGGGCCAACCGCCTGCTTACTCACCTGCTATGCCTTGATCTTGATTGATGTAATTAGCAGGAGGCTGCCCACTTTACGTGCCCCGGTGCCAGGGGGCGCTATCTATGGCTCCTTTTCCTCCCCTACACCATAGCCCAAGCATCGCAGATGGTACTGACATGGTATTCGACCTGGGCCCTGCTGTGATTTGGCTTTGTCCTTGCCTTCTCTCTGGGGCTTCTAACTGCCCTCCCCCTTGCTCTGGGGCTTCTTGCTGCCCCCTTTGCCTCTCTCCCGGTTTCTTACTGCCCCCTTGCTCTGGGGCTGGGGTCAATGCACCCCAAATGCTGTGCCCTCTCTGGTACTAAGGTTCCCACACTACCGTGGAGCCCCTATGAGGCCTCCTCCATCCCTAATAGCCTCACCCAATCCTCCAGTCAAAACAGCAAACACGAAGACACAAAGCCCCCAGGCTATAACATAAAAAGCTGAACCATCCGGCCAAACAACATTCAGTCCCTACCGGGAAATACTCCAACCCATAGCAGCAATCGGGGGATGCCCATGCAGTCAAGCTCCCCCTCCATTGGCCGCCAAAGGGGAACTGCCCTCCTGGCCTCATGCCTGGGGCTTAAGAAGGGCCAGGCCCTGCCCCTTCCTGTTAGCTGGCTCCCCACCGGTTGCCCTAGCAAACAGCACCTGTGACTCTGGCTGCCCTGGTAACTGGCAGCTGAGCTTCCCCCTTCTTGCTACTAGGGGCCTCTCCCGAGCTGTTTCTGCTCTCAGGCGCAGGGCACCTGAGTGCTCTGCAACAGGGGCATTGATCTGCCTCCACCAAGCCTCTTCCCTCCCCTCTCTGACTTACCAGCTAGAGGCAGCTCTTCATGCTGCTGGCTCTGCTCCATGCTGCGCTGCAGCTGCGCACAGGATGGGCATTTATTGGCCTCATTGGGCCAATCTCTGATATAGACCATTTCCTTTATATTGATACCAGTCTGATATTAGACCAATGTGTCAGTGCACCTCTATTGCATATTAATACTAGGAGTCTGATTTGCACTCAAACAAATGTCTACCTTGGATTAGGCAATTAAGTTTGTAAATATTCCTAGTTGCATTTATTGAGTGTGTTTATGAATTCTTTAAATAAAATAATCAGTCAAATTATGAGTTAAGTTTGATAGTGTGTCCTTAATTCACCTTGTCTTTTTCACTGCAGCTCTGTAAAGAGGGCTCTGAACAATAGGTGATCAATAATGTGCTGCAACATGGACAGTGATATTTAACATAACCTTACCAAGGTTGACATTAAAGACAGAGTTGTGCCTTTTTTAAGTCTGATTATTAATACTCTTAAGAATTTTTTTGATATTTGTTTTTTCTAACCACCATATTCATCTTATTGTGTAAGAAAATAGTATTTTATGGAAAGGTGTCTTTTATTTGTTTGATTTGGATGGTGGGGGAGGGGGGTTCTTGACATCTTTTCATTTGGTTGGTTGGCTACCGTTGCCATTCTTACCATGGCTGCATTTTTCAACCTGGGGCCAAATTCTATGATTTTTGATTCAAGCAAATATTTTGTTGATTTGTTTTTCTTTTTTTAACTAATGGGAGTTCAAGAGGTAAATAAAGAATTGATCTCTGTTGTTGTCCACAATACTATTGACCTAACTAATAAAATAGCTTATTCTCTTTAAAAAAACAAAAAACCAGCTAACAATGCTAATAGGTACCAAAATGCTCTTGTTTTTTTTGGGTTTGTTTGTATTAAACAATGCTACTATGAACTAAAACAAATAAAGTAGTATCTTATTGTGAAATCCAGTCTACCTGTATAAAACCCTACTGGTTTGCCTCCATGCAGGTCATGTAAGGGGAAGGGGGGTGAGGCGGTTAAAAATCTCTTTGCCTGGTCCAAATGGAGAACTAGCAGTCAGTTTACTCTGCAGCTTCCCCACCTCTTCTGACTTTTTTTAAAACTCTTATCACCAGACAAGAGCCACAGCCAATTGGATCTACCAGTGTCTTTGTCCTATTAAACCCTTCTACATCAGTTTTTCTGGTGCCAATATGGGGGCTTTTCTGATGCCATATAAGGGAATGTGTAGATACTCTTGTGTAATTGCTCCAAGTATATTGTCCCGTATAACTATTACATAAGTGCATTTCACTTGCAGCAAGCTTCACTCAAAAGTATATTTTGCTACCTTCCATTATACAACATTACATATACACCTTCATCTTGTGCAGTTATCTGCTGCATGAGGGGAGTACATTAAGGAGCAACTGTTCACCAGGGCACCTGAGAGGAAGACCAGGAGTAATGGCCACAAACTCCTGGAAGATCAAATCAGGCTCAACATGAGGAAAAACTTCTTCACAGTTAGGGTGTTCAAACTGTGGATTAAACTCCCTCCAGAGGTGGTGCAATCACCTACCCTGGAAATCTTCAAGAGGATACTGGACAATCACCTTGCTTGTCTTCCTGCCTAGTGCAGGGGGCTGGACCCAGTGATCTTCCAAGGTCCCTTCTGGCCTTAAAATCTGTGAATCCTTCAAGTCACTGGTGCTTGTCAGTTGCCTATTTTAATGTATGATTGTAATATACTACTTCAGACATGATTATAAAGTACTACTGGTATCATGTAAAATGCATTATTTATCATATGAGTCTTAATTTGCAGAATTTTTTTCTTGTGCAGCATTTTAAACTAATAATTCAAGAATTCTACTAATTTCATTTGCACGTACCTTGTTAAGGAAGGGGTTTGAAACTGGGTTTCAGTTAAGCTCATGGCTACAGAAATGGCATTTTTCTTTAAACACTTTAAGTCAATAGCCTTTCCTAGGTAAAGATCCCATAGTCTCTCTCAACTTGAGTTCAGATGCAAATACCTTTCCTCTGTGACCTTCCTCTGTCTCCTTATACTTTTGTTCTAACTTAGTTGCACTTTCAATTCCAGTGTTTTCCTACATTTCACTTAACTCAAATTTCAGTGCTAATTTGTGTTTGGCTTTTACTAAAATGCTGCATGACTTCATTATTAGAGTGAAGTCCATTCATTCTAGATAACCTCATAATATATTCTGTACTAAAGGCTGGGTTTTTGGTTGTAGCTGTGTTGGTCTAAGGACAAAGGCAGGCAAGGTTCTTTGGGTGGATATGATATCTTTTATTAGACCAACTGAGTAGTTGGAAAAAAGTTCTTTGCAAGCTTTCGGGTGCAATCACCCTTCTTCAGGCATAGGGAGTCCCTGCTGTTCTGAGTGTCCGGGGAAGTCTCGGATTTGATTTTGGACTCTTAGAATAGCAGAAATTTCTTACTCCTGAAGAAGTGTGATTGTGCCTGAAAGCTTGCAAATAACATTTTTCCAACTACTCAGTCGGTACTAAAGACTGGCAGTCCAACAGGAAGTACACTTTTAGGGGAACTTTAATGTGGTGATTTTGAACTTCTGCTTTTGTCACCTGTTCATGGAGCTGGGGCTCTTGCTGGAAGTTTTACTAGTGGCTGTTCTGCCCCACTGATCTATGTGGGACTTTTTATTTGGCAATGGTTTTCTGTGCTATCCTCTGCTATCACCCACTGTCTGACACCCTCTTTGGAGAGGTCTTGCTACAGATACTACTGCTGTCTTTTTTGAAAGCTGGTTTGTTGCTGCAGCTTGTATCTTTTAGCTGGAGCTTTTGTTCTGAATAGCAGCAACAACAACAAAAAATCACCTGGATTAGCAAATTGCAATGTTGTGGTAAAATTGGTGATGAACTTGTACTTTTTGCTGCCATATTCAGCATCTTACGTGCTATCTAATCGGTTTATTTTGAAGGTGATTAGCAATGTTATATGAATGAGCCACTCTCTTGGGACATTACACTGCTAAGCTGAAAACCTGAGCTGGTTCTAGTCGGAGTCAAAAGAGGAGCATCCAGTTGCTTTTGTAGAGCAGAATTTGACCCTAATTTATGTCTCCTTTAATGTTATTTTTTTGAGGGTGGATGGGGCAGTTCTTGCTCACTTCCTCCTTTCTCTGAGAGGGGAGGAAGGTTCACTGATGATAGGTTGTATGTATTTAGCTTTTATATATGCACTGATGAATTAGAACAAAGCTGTAGAGCTGGGGTCAGCAACCTTTTTTTGGGCCAAGTGTCAAAAAGCCCTGAAACCACAACTTGGAAGATGTTGGTATGCCAGGGGCAGACGGCAAGGGGCTCGATCCTTGTTGTGGCAGCGCAGCCCCGGCCCCTTTGCTTCTGGGCTCCCCTAGGCTTGTGTGCAGCTGCTCTCAGCATTGGCTGCAACTCCACACATCAGGTGCAGCTGCTTGCAGCCTTGTAACTGCCCGCAGCCTGGGCTTTCAGTAGGCCCCTGCCACCTACCAAGGGGCCACAGATGCTCACAGCAGGGCTTGCACCTTCCCTGCCTCTGGCTGCGAGGAGCCTGGGCTCCCATGGTCGGCAGCAGGGGCCTGCCCAGAGCTGGAGTCAGCTGCTGTTGCTGAGCAAAATGGTTTCATGCACTATGCACTGGGGGTTGCTGACCCCTGCTGCAGAGGGCTCTTAATTGGTAATGTACACTTGGACAGATAGGGTGGCTATAGCAAATAAAGATCTGCTGATGAGGAGGGGTTTTCTCAATTTCATTTTCTCCCTGGGAAGACTGTTTTTTAAAAAACAAATTGCATCTAATCGCACTACCCTGATAATGGTGCCCTTAATTGCATTAAGTACTACTTTTTAAATGACCCAAAATGTTTGTTTGCTTGAGATTTACATTTTATTAGGTGGAGAATGTGACTTGTGTATGGTTTGTGAAAATTGCTTGGAGAGAAATGATTGGATTTTTGCTGCAAGTAGTAGCTAGTACTACAATATGAGGATTACAGTGAGCATCAAACTTTTGCACAGTTTAAATTTAATGAATCACTGTGCGGTCTCACACTATCTTGTATTTTGGACTTCTGCAGATTCTTGAGACTATGCCAGTGACGGAGAAAGTTGAAGAATTACTGCAAGTTATTGGCCCATTCTATGAAATAGTAGAGGATAAGAAGAGTAACAGAGGATCTGACTTAACATCAGGTTTGAAGTTATGAAAACAAACAACTCTTTTTCTCCTCTTGCCACTTATAACAATTTCAGCTTCTTTTAATTACCTTGCATACATTTCATTGTCACTTTTTTATTTTTAGTAAATTGTTCTCCAGCTAAATATTACATCTTTCTATTCATTCCCTTACAATATGCCAGTCCAACTGGAGAAAGTCTCTAAATATTTGGAAGGTAGGAATGATATAAATGTGTATAAATCCATCTTTTTCCATTTGTTTTACACATCATAATTCTCTCTTAAACTCTTGACTTCTGGGTTTGCCACTCTTAGCTCTTGCTTATAAGCTAAATGCGACAGAATGCTGAACATTATCTGTTGGCTCGACCCAAAACGTTACTGGATGAGAGAAATCTTGCTGCAGAGGTGCTCTCTGCCAAAGGAGAGATTAAAAAAATGGTTCTGTCCCTCCACTAGCAATAGTGACAACTTCTTAATTCTGCCTTCCTGCTATGCCATGTTGCAAATGTTTTAATTGCTTTACACCAGGCATGTATAGACTGCACAATTAATAAGTGATTCAGATTGTTTTAATATCCCACAACTAGGTACTTATGTGGATATCATGAGTGGGAGCCTGTTTCTCTTTCTCTTCTCTACCATACCCTGTAAAGATTTCTCTTTTACGCTTTCTTAATGTAGCTTTGAGCAGGCCAGTTATGCCACAACTGGTAGTCTATAGTCTCAGTCCTCTTACTTGGGGGGAAAAAAAAGTCATCTGCAGGTTGCTGCTGTTACGGGGACAGAGTTTAATATTTTTCTTTTCTGAATCCTAGGTGTGTGAAGTATGTCAAAGACCAGTAATAAAGGACACGTCCCCTCTTCTCTTTAATCAATTTAGATTGAATGCTCAAAGGAAGAAGGGGCAGTCTAGTAGCTTATATATTGAAAGGTGGCAAACCTAGTAATTTCTTAGTTGCATATAAAATCATTGTGGTGGTGATTTTTATTTTAATAAGATATATGTAATTTAAATATTGTGAGGATGTTTTGATAACTGACAACCTTTTTGAGCAAGGTTGTCGAATTATCCTTTGTTAAAAGAGTTTTTAAAATCTAGTTAGTTTAATTTCAAATGGATTACATAGGCTATATTGGAGAAGTGTTTGCCAATTCATCTGTAGTACAGCTCAATTTTTATGCACATTTTTAAAACCTCAATTAACTTGTTTTAAAATGGTTTTCATGCTTAAAGGTAAAAAATGGTTTGTTTTAGCACTGGCACCTAATCAAATATGTTGAAATAACTTTCTGTATTTTGGAGGAAAAAACCTTTTCCTTGTTGTAAATGGTTACTTTGAAAACAGGGTCACTTTTTTCCAGCTAAAATTGCATATGCTTCAGATTTGAGAGTTAATATATTTGGCTGGCAGCAGGATTGACAGGCAGGATTGTAACAGAGTATCTGCAGATTCAGGTCAGTGACTTGCATAATAAGGATTTACTTGGAGTGGATGGTATAATGTGCCACAAGCCACTTTTTTTAAAAGATGCTAAATATAAACCAGCTGATTCATAGAGTTAGAGACAGAAAGCCAAAACTTGATAGATCTTAAATGTTACTATAACAGTTATTTAAAAGCATCTAAATTAAGGTGTGATCCATTTTCTGATAAGCCTAACACTTTGAATAATTTCTAATAAGAAACTGGAAGCTGAGGCCCACACTTAACCCCTATCTGGCTCTATCAATATTGCCACAGATAAGATTCCCTCCACCCCAGGGTGCTGAGGGAATTGGCAGAGGTCATTGCAGGACCCTGGCACAGCTCTACAAGCACTCGTGGTGCCCTGGCGAGGTGCCAGAGGATTGGAAAAGGGCCAATGTGGTCCTCATTTTCAGAAAAGGGAGGGAGGAGGACCCAGGAAACTATAGGCCCTTTAGTCTTTCCTCAGTCCTCAGGGGGGAAGCTCTTTGAGAAAATTATCCAGGAACACATCTGCAAGGGACCAGCAGGGGAGATTATGCTTAGGGGCAACCAACACGGGTTCATTAGAGGCAGGTCCTGTTGGACCAACCTGGTGGCCTTCTACGACCAGGTCACAAAATCCTTGGATGCAGATGTCGCGGTGGATGTAGTCTTCCTGGACTTGAGGAAGGCCTTCGACACTGTCTCTTACCCCATTTTCATTAAAAAATTAGGCGACTGTGGTGTCGATACCTACACAGTCAGATGGGTTGCAAATTGGCTGGAGGGCCGCACCCAGAGAGTGGTGGTGGACAGGTCATTTTTGACCTGGAGGGATGTGGGCAGTGGGGTCCCCCAGGGCTCGGTCCTCAGGCCCGCACTGTTCAACATCTTCATCAGCGACTTGGATGAGGGGGTGAAAAGCACCCTGTTCAAATTCGTGGATGACACAGATGTGGGGAGAAGTGGGCATGCTAGAGGAGAGAGACAAGCTACAACTAGATCTGGACAGGTTACAGAGATGGGCGGGTGAGAATAGGATGGGTTTTAAT